CACTGTAATGTTGGTTATCAATATAGTATTTGTAACTTTTGCTGACTATGGGGTCGGTTTTAACAGTTTAAATTTATTCTTTTTCCAATAGTGAGGTCGGTTTTAACAATTGAATGTTTATCTTATTTGCCAATCATAGGGTCGAATTTCCAAAAAATTTGAGTTTATGCTTTTATTATGTTATTTTTGTGCATGCGGTGTTTGATTTATCGTCTGTCCTTGGCCCTTGGACGGTTATTTGATTGGTTTCAATTTTTGGTTGATTGACTTGGAAATTTTTTATACTTCTTTAAGTATGACTAATTTCTAAATCAATCATACCTATTATCATGATTGCCCCAAACCAAGTAAATAATCCTTAAACTTAGACGAGTGTAAACCGTCCTTGCCTTGGTTGGCAGGCGGTCTTGTATATACCGTCTAAGTATTGATTAGTGTTCCACCCAAATAGGTTTTGCTCTCTTTGAGTGAATTCACCCAGATGGGTTTTTCTGACTGTGTCCAACACTTTGATAGAGTTTTTGTGGGACTTTTGGATTTGATTTGCTGTCTATACAAAGCACAAGCGGTACTATGCCCATTGCGAGGGAGACATACCCAAGACAAAATTACAAAACAAAGGTGAAGTAAAAAGCACTTTTCATTAATTTGGCTTTTTATTACAAAATTTACAAGGCTAGAAGTAATACTTCTTTATATATCAACATTCGACCATCTAAACATACCAGACGGTAATTGCCGTCTCTCACTTCTTCCCGAATGCGGTAGGATACTTCCTAATTGGGGATAAGTTTGCCTTTCTCATTTTCCCTACTGACCGCTTCCATTTTGCGTAGCACAAAGTCCCCCACTTTCAAGGGTCGTTTGTGTACTTTTTTATTGTAGGCTATGATCATTCTTTGACGGTAGATTTCATGGCGTAGGGCGGCATTGCCCCAGCGCTTTGGAAGGAAGTCAAAAGCTAGCAGCATGGCTTCTTAGTTAGCCTCTTCATCATACAACTTGACTTTGAGAGTCGACTCATGTAGCTCGGTGGGTAAAACGACTTCAGCGCCGTATTCCATGAAGAAGGGAGTTTTGCCTATTTATCCTTTAGCCGTCGTTCTTATGGACCAGGGCACATGAATTAACTCTCCTGCCCAAAGACCAACTTGGGCATGAGTAAACTTATGATGCATGCTAAATATCCCTTGAACCCTATTTGGGAGAAAGGCATGAACGAGGTATATAAGTTTTCCTAAAACTCATTGGCGACTCCTTATTAGTTTTTTTTTTTAAAAAAACGTAATTATTGGATCAACTCTAATTCAAGGTACCCCAAACAGTCAGGAATTCAAATCCTAACACACCCTAAAAAGTTTAAATTCCTAGGCTTTTAAAGGGTCATGGGCATAGAGGAGAAGGATCCCCTAGATGGGCACACCCTCCTCACAATTAGAAGCATAAGGAAAATCATTTGGAGCCATGTAAGAACAAGAAGATGAAGAGGGAGGATCATTCACATTATAAACATGAGCATCATCACATTGGGGAGATGGGACACAATCAAACAAATGAGATTCATCATTAACATTAGGAGAAAGAGAGTTAAAATCACTTGTTCTAGGTTCACAAATGGGATCACAAGACAAATTATGGGGGTTCATGCTACCAATAGAGATATTATCACATGGAGACTCAAATTTAGAACCATTACAAGCCCTATTGTGTACATCCTTAGCAAAACACACATAAAAGTCTCAAGCATCACCAATTGTTATAGTTAGAAATTCACCAATAAACTTGCTTTCAACTTCATTCCTTGTTTGCTCATTCATACCTTTATAACAAATCTCACATGTTTCCTAAGGATTACAACAATTATAGTTCAAAAACTGCACAAGTTTATGGAAGTAGACATTAAAGTCTCACCATTATATTGAGGAAAAGAAAAGCATGCCATTTTTTTTTTCAACAAAAACAACACAAAGATAACCAAACAAATAAAATGAATATTATACACAAAGGCCTAGACTCAACAAGGTAATGACACAATAATGGAAGTTGTTCCCCGGCAACGGCGCCATTTTGACAAAGGATATTTTAGGTCGTTGGGTTCTAAAACACCTCAAATCAAACAAAAATTTATAGCACCTAAACCTAACACCAAATATGAGTTTAGTGGAAAGTCAAGGGTCGATCCACGGAGAACGGCTAATCACCACAACCATTACCAACAACTAAGCTAGGTCGAATGAAAAGGGGTAAGAAATGACAACTTACACTACAAGGCTATACTAAACTAAGACAAAATGATAAGGAGATGGGTAGGTATGAGCTCCACTCAAGCATGTATAGCAATATAATCGAAATGATCACAAACTAAGTATATTTGAATGTCGAAATAAGGTCCAATCTAACCACCTATCGGGGCTAAAAAGTTTCTCCTAACATAGTCTCTATGCCATCACACTAAAACCAAATATTAAAAGGTACAATCAAGCACAATCGACAACAATGAATCTAGCAAGGTCTGCTATCGCATCATCAAGCATCAATTCACCTTCAATTAACAAACAACATGCATTTTGCAAGAAAATTGAAGAACATCAAACATACAAAAACTTAAATCATGATCAAACCAAATCCTACAGCTAAAACATGCTCAAGCTTCAATCATACCAATGAAGATCTGTCACTTTCTCTCTCTAAAACCCAAATTATGGAGGCTAATCCTCCCTAACTAAACTAAGAGAGAGAGAGCTAAAAAAATCTAATTAAGAGAGTAAAACTAATCTTCCTTTTCAATTACCCCAAAAATGGGTATTTATATTTAACTAGCAAAAAGAAATAAAAGAAAACGAAAAATAAAAAAGAAAGAAAGAAAGAAAGAAAGAAAAAGAAATTAAAAGGAAAAGGGGAAGAAAATAACAAATCTAATATATATAAATAAAGTAGGCATTTTTGGATAGTATTCGGCGCGCCACATAAGCAAAGGTATTATTTCGACCTATTAAAAATTAGATTTGTATTTTATTTTAGAATTAAAAAATTCACTCGCCACCTAAGAAAAATTGACGAATAAGATTTAAGAATTTTGTCACGTGGCTAAAAACAACGAATAGTGAATTATTAGGATTTAAATTATTTAAAAAACAAAAAATTATCTTAAAAAAAAAATGAAAAATAATCTTTAGATATAAGGATTTTAAATTATATAAAAACAATTGTATAAATTATATTTTGATATTAGAATTTAAATTATTAAAAAAATTTAAATTATCTTTTGATATTAATGATTTTATTTAAACATCCAATGACTGAGATGATAATTAAATATTAGATTAAAATCATATCTTAAAAATAAAATATTATATTTAACTGATAAACGAATACAATAAAATTTGATACTTACCATTATAAGATAAATTTTGATAGTGTTTAGGATAAAAATATAAATTGTTACTTAATTATAATTAAATTAAAATTTGTGATATATGTCATTATAAATTAACGCATCATACGACACCAACTAAATTTCAAATGAATACAAAACCAAATCAAACGAATTTTGTGTTAGTAATTTTGTGTCATTTTTAGGTTATCAATGGCTAGGTAATTTTTAGCTTAATTTTTAAAATTCATGTTTAAATTTATATTTGCAATTATTACTTATATTGTATTTATTTGCGTACTTAACAATTATATGTTTATGGTTTGTTTATTAAATTTTGTTTTTACATATGGATCTAATTTGATTTAAGAATCAAAAGCAAAAGTGATTAGAAAATCAAAGTGTGAGTTTCTCACCTAACGTACAAAACTTCTTCAAACAATAAAGCTTAATAAGTTAGGATATGATCCTATTGGACGAGGAGGTATTATATTTTTATAAATTGTTTACATTTATTAAATTTGTTTATAAACCTTTGTAGTTTTTTTATTAATTAATTTCATGAAAAAAAACAAAAACTTTGTGATTTAGATGGCTATATAGTTATTAAATTAACTTAATTTCTTATTTTTAATTATAGGGTGATTACGTTCATGCCTCAATTAAAGCCAACTTTGTTCAACATTTTCTTCCAATATTGATTAAATTAGATCGATTTCGTAACGATTTTTCTCTTCCTGATAAATATATTAATTTATTTTATAAAATAATAAAGACTAATTTTATATCAATTTTACTTTTGCTAACATCCTAACATTTTTGTGTTCTATTTATCCACTTTTGTTAGTTAGATGTAATAGGTATGGTTGTGAACGAAGTTGATGATTCTATGGTTAAATCGTATACATGCTTTATTTATTATTATTTTTTAATAATATTTCTTACCTATATTTAAAGTAGGCATTTTTTTTGGAGCATTCGGCGCACCACATAAGCAAATGTATTATTAGTATTATTTTGACCAATTAAAAATTAGATTTGTATATTTTATTTTAGAATTAAAAAATCACTTGCCACCAAAGCAAAAGTGACTTATGAGATAGATTTAAGAATTTGGCTACATAGATAATTAAAAACAACAAATATATTTAAAAAATAAAAATTATCTTTCTTTTAAGAACTAAAATATATCTTTAAATATTAAAATTTTAAATTATTTTAAAAACTAAATATTATACAAAATTATATGTTAAAAAAAAACCAAAATTATAGAATGAGATTTGATATATTTAATTTTACACGCCACTTAAGTTAAAAAAAAAAAAATCTATAAATAGTGATTTAGCATTTAAGTTATTTTTAAAATTAAAAAAAAAATCATCTTTTTACATTAAATTTTTTATCCTAATAATCATCACATGAGCTAAGACTTGAGGTTTTAATATTATTTTAAAAACAAAAAAATCACACGGACATTATAAATTACATAAAATTAATAGAAATTATCTTTAACAAATAATAATAATATAATCAAAATTTTTTACAAAAATATCTTTTCATGAGATTCATTTTAAAAAAAATCGTGCATCGCACGGGCTTACATCTAGTAATATAATAAAAATAAACTAATTTATAACCTTTTAAAAAGTCACAACATGGCAATTAGAAAACCTTATGAATAGTGCTCTAACCAATTTACCCCTTAAAAATGTGTATCTACTTTTTATCCTTATTTTAATTATTGGATTAAACAAAAAAAAAAAATATTGGATTATCTCCTTGAGGCGATCTGACTTTTTAACCCTTTTGCTTTTCCCAGTTCTTCTTCCTGCCAGGCCAGAAGCCAGCTGCCACATATCTTTATCTCCTCTCAAGAATCACCCTCCTCTCTCATCTCTCTTCATCTCCACCAACGTCGCATCGAAAGGCATGCCAAGATCCTTATCTCTAACACCTTGTAATCGGAAGGCATGCAAGCAAATGCCAAGGTACTGAGGCTTGCTATATCCACTGGCCCGGTTCAATTGCTTCACGGGTTTTTCTCTTAGGTTTTCGTTTAATTTTTAAGAATTTTTGGGGTTTAATTTTTATGGATTTTTCTTGAATTTCTTAGGGCACAAACTGAAGAAAATCAGGAAGAAGGTAAAGAGTAGCTCCTCTGATAATATTTCATTTCTTGAATCGTGCAATTTACTGGAATTTTGAGGATTTATGTCGACATGGGAGACAACGATGCGTTCTTGTGCAACCTGAATTCCGCCGTTATGGGTCGCACCAACCACTAAAGTGAATCGCGCATTGCTCTTCAGCTTAAGATGGTACAATTTAAGGGTTTGATTGTTGTATTGGATATTTTTCAATTGCATCTTTTTCTGAGCTTGCTGTTTTTGTTGATGATATTGAGGTTATATATTGCCATTTTAATGTTGGTGCCGCTTGCGGCATGGTGATGAACAGGGCAGCAAGGTGGGTCTTGGGTTATTTTAATTTTCTGTTTAGCCAATTCAGGGTTCTTCTAAGGTGAATTATTTTACTAATAAACATTATAAGTGAATTTATTCTTCTTAATATAGGTTTTTAAAGTTGAATTTATGGGTTTAATTTTTGCATAATTATGGGATTTTATAGGTATTTTGTTTGATTAAATAATTGAATCTGTGTGATGAATTTGATTTTTGATTGCTGGAAATTGTTTCGGGTAATTATAATTTTATTCAATTCATATTTATTTTTTATAGAATTTTATTTCTATTGTTGATTTTCCTTAAAAAATAAATAAAAGTTAATCTTTGTTGTTTGGTATTTGCAGATATCAATTGCACCTTATTGAGTTCTGAGATGGGAGTGCTGAGATAATGAGATGGCTAAAAGATAATTCAAATACGAGAACCCTTGTGGTTTGTTATAGTTTCTTTTTTTTGTGCCCTTTCAAACTTTGAATTTTTATTGTAATTTGAATGTTTAATTATCAAATTTTGTGGTATATGCATTAGGGTTTGTTTCTAATTATGAATCTTGGAAGTAAATGGTTCTAATTGATGATTTGAATTTCTGGTAAATCATAATTTCCTTGTAAATTTGCTAATCTAAGCTCAAACGTCTCAAAAATCCTGACCCACGTTTCTTATGCTACACCTCTCCTCACCCAATTAGTCAATTACCGCCTATCATTCTCAGGTCCTTCAATTCCTTGCTATTCAGATCACTACTCTTCTTGTGTATTTAGAGTATGTTAATTAGTTTACTCACGGACATGGTCTATTTTTTTTATATATATATGATCAATTATTGGTACATCAATTGCACGAATCTAAGCACATAAATTGGATCAGAAAAGGTTATCAAGTTGTGTTAAGTACATGAGCATATGAAAAATCATGTTGACCATCATTAGAAAACAGCTACAAGAACATCTATGGTAGCAATATGCTAGCTTAATTTTCAAAAGCACAGAAGCTCATGAGTTTTGATCTTCAGTTAAATAATAAGCAAGCAAAAGCAAGATTAAAGCCTAAGAGACCACTAAGTCATGATGACATCCTATTCTTATAAACACATAAGATCAAATGCAAAGCAACTCCTGCTTAGTTTATCAGTAGAGTCTTTAATAGCGAACTACAGTTGACAGTGTAAACTTTGTAAAAATTGAGGTTTTACTTGACATTCTCTGGAGTTTCTGTTTGTAGTTGGAAGCTTCGACAAGTGAGTAATTAAATCAGAGAATTCAAATAATCACATGTAGAAGTACTTTCTCAATTTTCGTTCTTTCAGGAAAGTTGATGCATAAAAAAATAAAATTTGCAGTTCGTCTTATAGGCTATAGTGATGAGGGACCGAGTGCTACAAATTTGTTGTTAACAATTGAAGAATTGCTGATCTTGAATGGTATTTTAGTTTTACTTATGTACAAAAGCTAAAGAAAAAAAGATATGATCCTTAAGGTATTTAAACAACAATTAGAGCTTATTTTGTTAATATTTACATAGCCTAAGGGGAGGACTACGAAGTATAAGTAACTAAAAGGAGTCAGCCCCCTTTCTCTTCGCATTTTGGCTGCTCAATTTTGGGGTTTAAATCCCTTGCTTCACACCCCACCAAACACCTTCATCAATCATCATCATCGAATTACCGCCGTTCTTCATCATCGTTTACCATCAAGCATCAATCGAGGCCGTTGATCTCCATAAACAATCACGTGCGAAGCTTGTGAAGTGGTTCGATCGGACCGAGGGTAGGTTCGACCGAACTATGGGTTGGTTCGGTCATGGTTCGACCGAACCTCTTCAAATAAGAAAACTTCAGGAGGTTCTGAACATTAAGGCCGTTCGATCGAACTTTTCAAAAGTTTGCCCGAACCCGATTGATATGTGATTTGCTCTGATTTTGGGGCTTAATTGAGGGGCCGAAATTGCTTGGCTGCTGAATCGAAGGTGATGGATGATTGGAGGACCAATTGATGCGGGTGTGCTGGGAATCGGTGGGCTGCTTACGGTTTGTGTGGCTGCTGTGTGCGCAGGGCTGCTAGGTGGTTTGAGTTGTGAAGGTGGAGTTGTTTGGTGTGAGTTGAGTGAGGAGGTGTTGCGGGCTGGTTTGGTGTGTGCTGTTCCGGTTTGTATTGGTGGTTGGAGTAGGTGATGCATTTGGAGGTGAAGGTGAGGTGCGGCTGAGTAGGGGGGTCGTGGCTGTTTTGTTGGGTTGGTGGCGTGGAGGCTGCTGTGCTTGCGGTTGTTGGTGTCGTGAGGGGGCTGGTGTGTTGAGTTGGTAATTGAGAGGAGCAAGGTAAGTAGTGGTGAAGGATAAAGATAGGGGGGTGTAGGATTAGAAAAGGGCAGCAGCAAAAGCATTAGCAAAAAGGATTATGGACCCTACTTTGCGTGATTAATCATGACCCGAAACCTCGAAATCGTACCTACACAAATAAGAAGACCAAGGATAGGGTCGGGAAATAAATAAACTATACAAGCAACCAAAATACAATATAATAAGAAAAAAAACTTAAAACTAAAAAAATAAAGAAACTAAACTAAAACATGCCAAAATTACGAAATAAACTAGAAACTTTATTAACGAGAAAATAAAAGAATAAAAGGGTAAATAGGAGAAAACGAGCACGAAAATGATTCTAAAACTACTCTCTAAAAGTGACATAAATGTTACTCATCATCAGGTTGCTTGGGTTTCGTCTTTAAGGTCAAATTGGACTTTAGGACATATGACTTCAGTAAACCTTTTTCAGCCAATTTATCAAGTAACTTCTTCAAGATGTAACAGTCATTAGTGTCACGACCAACAACTTTGTGAAAGTGGCAATACTTGTTTTTGTCACAGTACTTAGTTGAGGTTTGTCAAAGTGCACATGATCTTTATTTCAATGAGGATTGAATAACAATCTTTGTTGAACTCGTACCTAGGAACGTACGGTTCAAACTTCTTTTTCTTCTTCTTAGATGGTTGATAAGAATCATCCATCGTCCAGACTTCTTTACTCTTTTTCTCTTCATTATTGTGAGCCGACTGATCTTGCCGACTCTCCTTGGATTATTCTGACCTTTTTTGTCTGTCTGCTTGCTGGTGGAGCATAACTCTACCGTTTGTATGTAGGACTTAGCTTCTCTCAAAGCCTCTAGTAGGGTAAAAACCCTCTTCCGGATGGGATCAAAATTGATCGTTGATCCGTCCTTCAAACCTTTGAAGAAGTATATGTAAGCTACTTCATCAAATAGCCCTGGAATTTGAATACGTTCTAAAGTGAAACGCATGACATAGGAACTTAAGCCCTATCGCTCTCGCTAAACAACCGCCCCCAAGTCCATGCTTGTTTTCTTTGCCGGTATGTTCATGGAGAAATTTGTAGCAAATAGAATAGCCAAAATTTTGAAGTTGTTGATGCATCTAGCGGGCAAATTGCCGAACCATTGTTGGGCTATACCCTTCAAGGTTGTCGAAAAGCACTTGCACCAGGCAGCATCATCTACCGCTTGTAGATACATTAGGTTAGTATATGCCATTAGGTGATCCACTGGGTTGGTGGTACCGTCATAAGCACCAACCAAAACATTCTTCATATTGAACAACTGTGATGCTCAGTGATACCTTTGGAGAATGTCGTGGGCTTGTCTCCAAGTTTGAGCAATCTTAGTTGTTAGTCCAGTGGTTGTACTAGCATGCTCCAAATGGGTCGTATGCCTGCTGAGGGACATAGAATGCTAGTTGTATCATATGGGGGCCTGTATAAATGGATTGACTATCATTAGATAGAATTTGCTAAGTTAATTGTTAACTATCATGAGGATTGGGGAAAGGATTAATCAACGAATAGCCAGGAAGCAAAAATGAGATTGTTCTTCCATTTCTTCACCGTGAATAAGGAAAAACAATAAAGAGGTGGGTTTTGTTTACTTAATACTACCACTTGAAATAGAAGAGTTAAGGTGATATGAATAAGAAAGGCCAAGTCATAAACTTATGAATCTACAACTCTTAAAAAGAGAGAAGTTCACGGTTAGACCTGTTATGAACAGTAACGAATTTCAATTTCCAATTTTGAACAGTGTCAATTTTGAACAGTAAATTCTGAACAGTAACAGTTTCAACAGCACAACACTTGCTACAGTAGCAATTTGAACAGCACAACATTTGCTTCAGCATTTGTTTTTCGGATTTGTACTTTCCTATTGTATTTGGCCTCTTTCCGAAACATTCTCATTATATATATAGGTGGCTTTTTTGTGCTTTCCCTTTGGTTATTTCATTTCCTGTTTCTCTCTCTTCCGATTTTGTTTTTCCGTTCTTCTATTCTCTCATTCTATATATAATTGTCTTCTCTTTTTATAATTTAGATTTAGTTTATCAAATTTGTGTTTTCGTTCTTCTATTATGTTTCCTGGTGGAGTTATATACAGGTTTGTGTTGTGGTTTTTTTGTTTCTTGGTATTGCATTTTGGATTTCATTGTTGTGTATATTTGTAAGTGTGTTCGATTTTTCTTGGATTGGAGGTTTCGGTGATTTTTTTGTTATTTCTATTCAGTTGGACTTAATTTGTTTGTCTATTTTTATTGTTCATGTTCTTTGCGTTTGCATTGTTTTGGTTTGTTTGGTATTGGGGTTTATTACCTTGTTTTTTTTCTTTGTGTTTCCTGTTTCTCTGTATTTGTTTACTTTGTTTGGTAAATAGTACTTTTGCTGGTCTGTGTTGTGATTCAAATCGATTATCATTCTAGATTGGTGTATTGTGTTGTGTTTCTCTGTATTTGTTTACTTTGTTTGGCAAATAGTTTTTTTTTGGTTTGTGTTGTGATTTAAATCGGTTACCATTCAGATTGGTGTGTTGTGTTGTGTTGATTTATATTTGTGTTTTGGTCTTTTATTTTGTTTTTTCACACCAAAGAATCGATTATCATTTTAGATTGGTGTATTGTGTTGTGTTTCTCTGTATTTGTTTACTTTGTTTGGTAAATAGTATTTTTTTGGTTTGTGTTGTGATTTGAATCGACTATCACTTAGATTGGTGTTTTGTGTTGTGTTGATTTATATTTGTGTTCTGGTCTTTTGTTTTGTTTTTTCACACCAAAGAAAAAATATTAACGACCAACAGATATTACAACAAACAACATAAAATTAAACTATTGGAAGGAAACTATAAATTCGCCGGAAGTTATTGAAGATATCCATTAATGCGAGAAAGAAGAAGAAAGCAAAAGGTTTAGCTAAATCTGGGGAGACGAGGATCGAGAGATGGCCAAGAAGAAGAGAGAGAAAGGGAGGACAGGAGAAAGAGAAGAAAAGTTCGGTCGAGTAAAAGAGGAAAGGGCTTTCTGCCGAAGAAAGGAGGAACAGGACAAAATTGGCAATTGATTTTGCTGAAGCAATTGTTGTTCTGTTCACAGTGCTACTGTTCAAAATTGGCACTGTTCAAAATTGGAAATTGCAGAATACTTTACTATTCATAATTTGCAATTGATTTCGATGTTGTTCATAATTGGCAATTGATTTCGTTGCTGTTCACAAGGAGTGTAGCGGTTAACTCCTTTCTTAACTCCTACAAAGAGAGGAGTTCAC